CCGCCTAATTTTTATTTTTTTTTGGGTAAAAAATCTATTTTTTTTTTATATAAAAATATATTTAATGCCTTAAAAATACGAAACGCATTATGACGCTTATTCTTCGCATTGACACGCCTAAACTTGCGATTCTTGATTCTCAGCCTCGACGCATCGCAACGCATTACACATTTTAGAACATTGCTCAAGAGACAGAACTGAATTATACAGAGACTGTAGAGTTGTATAAACAATGTTCAGAATTTCATAGAGTTAATTCCAGGTAAGACAATCACTGAGTACGTCTTAACTCACAAGAACGAGTACAAATTATCACAGTTTGCAATATACTAAATTAAAGAACACATGCAGAAGTTTTATATCAAGGTCCTTGACTCGAAATCAAGACAACCCTCAGATTCCAGACAACTCTTAGGGTTTCTGGACAAAGGAATTGCCAAGAAAAGTCTTAGACCCAAGTTTAAAAAAACATTTTGCAAAAAAACTTTAAAGTATAAGCAAAAATTTGTACATCAAGTGTAAAACTGGAACGAACTCACCAAATCCCTTTATTAGGGTTTCAGCAAATAAAATGAACAAACTGAATCAGGAGTCAAGCTTTAAGATCTGCACAAATCGAAACCAAGAACCACCGTATAAACGCTTTGATACCACTGTAACAATGAAGTTCAAATAATCAGCCACTTTCAATCAACAAAATAGAAATAAAAGTGCACAAATCAACAAAAAAAAACAAGTAAAGAACATGAGATTTTTCGCCCTAAGGCAAGAGGTTCAGAACCGGAATTGCTAATCCCCTTTTGAGCTTTCGCCAACTGGAAAAAAATCACTATATTAACCGGAATCAAGAAAATGTTCAGAATACACCTGGCACTCAGACGAAATCACCCAAAATTACATCAAAAAAAGGAAAAGACCTCAAACTGATCGAAACATCAATCCACTCAAGAACACAACAATAGACCTTTACAAATCACTCATGATTTATACAACAAACTATATAGATTATAGATCTAAAATGACGCTTCTAATTTTCAGAGTGCAGAATAGAGAAGATGAGAGAGTTCAGAGAACATAGAGAGTTCGAGAGAGTATGAGAGAATGAACAACCACAGTCAAAACTCAAACCCTAGTATATGAGAAGTCTCCAAAAGGTCGGCCAATCCAACGGTTCGTGGGGCTACACTTGGCGACATATCGTCCATCCAGCCATTTAGTAAAAATGCATAAAGGTAAAGCACGCTTATAACCGAATGAAAACTGAAGCCACCAAGCAATCAAATAATATCAGTCCAACCCAACAAGAATTATCCAACAACCAAGCCATCAGACCAACAGACCAGCCCAACTCAATAATACAATCAGGTTCCAACAGCATCATCATTGTGCAATTTCTCCACAATGACGCTTAACAGCTTAAAACAACACTTCTAAAAGGATCAAATGGCATCACTTAACCAAAAAAAAATGAAAAAAGAAACATTACAAAAAAAGACAAACAGGTGGTCTTACGCTCTGTCTCCATCTCTGTCAGTGTCTCTATCTCTATTTCGTTCGAACCCATGCACAATATCTTGTAATCTTCTACAAAGAGGATCGACAAAAATGTCACACAGAGTGCCTGAAATCCAATTTTTAATTGCATCTAACGTGGACTGACGTATTAGCTTTATCGTCAGCATAATGAACAGAAGTATTAAACTCCTGTAAAAGTAGAAATTACATAATGAAAAGTGAAGATTCTCATTAAGATTAAAAATGTGAAATTTCTATGTCTGCAGCATATGAGCTCAAAATTTCAAAACCAACAAAACTGGAGTTATTACCAGACCAAAATATTCTCAACAGCCTCTTTTTAGTTAACATTCCAAAGCCAAGGATTTTCTCCAAGAACCCAATGAATGAACTATAACACAGTCACTTCTTAAAACTCAACACTAATGTCATGATAACTCACCCCATTCAAAGATGAGCCAAGCGACACGAAGCCTTTTTAATGCAATGAAGGGAGAGTATTATTTTTGGTAAGACAAAATGAAACTTCAAAAATATATTATTAACTAGTGTGAAGACTTAATGTAATTGCAAGTCTCATCGCTACCATTTATAATTTTTTTGTATATGACTCTGGCAGTCTGGCGTGTACTTGAAGGGATGCATTGAAGACTAAATTTAAGTTCATAGTAAGGTGGTTATACATAAGTTTTTAGTCAGATTGGTTTAAAGCTCAATTTAAAAATGCAGCCCCGTCACCTCATCAGCTCAAATAGATAGTAGAACCAACCAGGAAAATGAAGCGTGCAATTCGATTGGACATGATCTAACGTTATGAAGTGTTGAAAGTAAAAGTTTTAAAACTGAAGATGAATACCAGATGAGCAGCAACGTCTTTTTCACGATGTAGAAGAAAATTATCGCAAGCATGACAATGATTATCCCTGCTACCTACACATGAAAAAGGTTACAGAAG